CTTAAGTTGTGATATTTGATCCTCATGTGCTTTCCATCTTTGCTGTTCTTACAACAATGTATATCTTCTTCCCGTCATTTTTGATAGTTGTGTAATCATCCTTAGTCCTTGAAACCCCGTCGTCGTTGCCTAGCTCTCCTGGCTTGGTTGGAACATTTATAGTTTCAAACTTTGTTGGAAGGTTTGTTGTTGGGTATCATCGCTGAACATCATTGCCGGACAAAACAAAATGGTCTGAAGCCTGTAGTCTTTTGCACGTGAAGTGGGTGCTACCAAAAGGATCCACACTTTTTTTATGGGTGGCATCCTAGTCAGCCTCCACATCATTATTGCTGCTGACTCATCATCCTTCATCACTAGCACACCCCAACCAATATTAATGAGTATAACACAAATACTTTTTAACTTATAACATCATTATCAACAAAATTAACAAGACTATGGCTAAGGTTTCTTCCAATAGAAAAAGAAATTACATCATCTAAGCCTTAAATGACTCTTCTTTAGCCTTTATTAATGCTTCCACTAATTTTTAAGGTGAGACGTAAAAGAAAAAATTTTGACTATCTTTCTCTCAATCATCTTGAGAAGGCCATAGCTGAAATTTGTTGCATAAAAAATATCTCTAGGCAATAAGGAAGCTAATTGTACAAACAATAGCAAAATAATAATAATAATAATTAATAGCAAAAAAAAGCATTATTTTTTTGAACATGCAATTTATTATGAACAGACTACAATGGCTATTCAAATCCTAAAATCCAACAATATATAGAATTACAATTACTACATCACAAAAATGCTATAGTATCTACTCATCATATATAGCTTAAAATGTAACAATAAAGTCTAATTCAACTTTGCAAGGTATGCCTACAATTAAATAACTAAAATGTAAGACTAACATTTGTTCAATGTACCAATAAAGAGTGAAAAGAAATACCTAATACAATTTAAACTTGTAACAAATTACATTACACCTTGATTTTATACCAAGAAATTTATTTTCTTAGACCAAGTCGAGCTCTATTTTGGTTGGCTACCTCAGATTCTTTTAAATAGGCTAGAAGAAAGAAAAAAGTAGGTTCTAATCCAAACTCTACCACTGCACGTTTTTTCTAAGTTAAGTAAGAGTTAGCATCTAAATTCTGCTAAAAAATAAATTCACTTACTTTAGATGACTTAAATCAATATTGCAAATAAACACCAAAATACTTTAAAATGAAATTGAAAACAAAACCTATTTCCATGCTCATCATTAGGCCCCTACTTCACAATTGATCAATCACAAGAATTTTCAGCATCATTGATATCAAATAAAGAATCATTGATATCAAATAAAGAATCATTGATATCAAATAAAGAATTAATAAGATTAGAGCCTTGGATTCGTATCTTATGGGGTATGGGTTTTCTATAGTTGAGTCTCTACTGCAAAAGATAGGCACTTGAAGATTGGGGCGCTGGCAATCCTAATCATAAACGGCACATATAGAGATCCATCTACCTTGTACTTCAAAGAGGATTGGTGGTGAGTAGGCTGCCAATAGATCAAATTACCGTCCAACCTTCAGGGAATTTTCCATTTCACCACTTAAAAGGAATTGGAATAGGAAAGAAAAGTGAAGAAAAGAATGGATGAAGGAATTGCTTGTGATGGTTGCCATTATTATTGAATAGATTATAAATCTAGGTTTTGTATTTGAAAGGGTGGAGAAGCCATGAAACACCCTACAAAGGAGATGAGGGGAAATTTGAAGAAATAATACTTGGGGAAATTAAGGCGTGGAAAAAAAAGGGAAGAAAGACATAACGATTACTTGATCAAGGGTTCAAACCCCTATTTTTTCAAAAAGGTATTAATTATTTATGGCTACATTATATAATTAGCTATAGGTCTATATTATGGCTAAATTTTTATAACTAAAAGACCAATTATTGCTATAATGAATAAAAAGTTAAGGCAAAAAAATATTTCTTAGCTTTGGGGGATTGAAATATGAAACAAAATATATACATCAGCTTTGAGAGGTTGAAAGATGAAACAAAGTATATCCATTAGCTTCTACAAGTTGAAAGACAAAGCAAAAATTACATGTTAGCTTCGGGAAACTAATATTTGTAGCTAACACTATCATGTATTGTTACAGGCATCAATATCATGGCTATTCTTATGTAATAGCTATGATTTTATTGTCCAAACCCATGAATTTGTAACTGTATGTTAAATATTTAGTAGTAAATACTTATTGTAGAAAATTATTTAAAGATTAAAAACTAAATTAAAATTGATTCCCTCTTAGCCTACCTTAGGCAAAATGTATTTCCAATTTTCACCTCGATCTAATACATGACCTATGGTCCAAAACACAACATGGTTGAAAAGGTAAGCATTTATTTTTGTAAGGTACATATTGGCATTAAGATTGTTGAGCAATATGTGGCTTCATGGAACACCTCATGCATTTGCAATTGCCTTATATTCCCAGTGAGATGTCTTTTATTGGCGACTTGCAACACCTCATGCATCTACAATAAGCTTAAAATATGTTTCCTAGGTGGCATGCCTCTTGTTGGCGATGCTATGCCTTTATTGATAGGAACATAAATTGCTTGGTGTAAAATTTTTTAGATATCATTTTTCAACTCTTCCTTGTTTCTTTTACAGGTTTGTTTGCTTTGTTATTTGTTGTCCCTTTGCTACTAGAGGTTGCATTTTGCTTCCTTGTGAAAACTAAAGAGAGATTTGGAATGAAACATGAAAGTTTGACGGTAGACTCACAAGCCCTATTACATTACTGCCCATGTTAAGCTCCTTAACTACTTTTGAGTCATTTGGCTTAGGAGAAACATGTTTAGTAGACGTCTTTGTAGACACAACTTCGTTTACCAAATTCTAATTTATCTCTTGAGAAACTATATCAAGTTTCCACTTCTCTATCTAGATAAGCCTTTGCCTCCTTAAAGGTTGCTGCCTTTAGGAAATATGCATCTTGGTAGCAACATGCCTTCAGTGCTCTTTAGCTCATTTCTTTTAAATTCACCTTTGGAGAGTTCTAGGACGATTTGAAAGTAATGGAAAAAGGAAAATTTGAAAGTTAAAATAAAAATTTGTGAAACTTACATGACATGTAAAGACTTTTATATTCTATCTAAGACAATCTTTGTTGGGGGGATGGCAAGATTTGTTATGAATCACAAGAAGAGAGAATTTTTAGGAAAGGGGAAATGAAAATGGGAGAGATAGACAATGAGTTTTAGCCACTTTTTTTCTTTCATTTTTATTGTGAAAAAGGCCTTGAATTTTGGGTTAGATGGAAGGCCTTCGTTGGCTTTTGATTTTTCATATTTTAGGCCTAGGTGAAAGACTAAGTTGAAGTCCATTGGTTCCTTGTTGATACCAAGCCTTTTAGTCAGGATGAGCATTGGATATAGATACACTTGTTATTTGTATGTATCTTATTTATTTGGATAAGTATTATACCTGAATTATAAAAAATTTAGGTAAGTAATAAGTATGAAAATAGTATATTTGTAAGTATCAAATCAAGTAATAAAAGTAAAGATTAAAAATTGTTTACCTAACTTGTTTAATAGACTTGTTTAATTGATATATTATCTATATTTATATGATTAAAATTTTACCTATATTTTTTTAATAAGAAATTTTATTTATATTTATTATACTTTAAATTAAGGAAATATTGTTTATTCATCTTACCTCCTAAAGATTAAAAGGAAT